AAAAAATTGTATTACAAAAAAAAAATTAGTTTTACCAGCAAATATTGAAATATATTTTGAATACTATTTGAAATATTAAAGCTACACTAAAGCAAATTGATCAAAAGTCTTATATAGTGATGAATCTATATCTCTCAATTTCAATAAAATTGCTCTAATAAAGTTTAGTATAAATCAAAAAATAAATGAACATTATCTTATATTACAGCTACAGTAAAATATAACTCTAATTAAATATATTGAGACTGCTTTTTAAGAAAACATATAAACTAATTATTTCATTATCTAGAATAACAATTGGTAATTTACATGTTATTATTATAAATATGTTGTTACAATATCTTTTTAAGCAAAAAATAATCTTTATACATTATCTTGATCAGCTCAAAGTTCTGATCTTAATCTAAATAAGAATTTCAGCTTATAAAAACCTCAATCTAATCTCATTGTTTTTGACTGATATATTAAAAAGATATAGTAAAAAATTCTAAAGCATATTATTAAAAATTTAGTTGATAGTATATTATAATAAATTTAAACTATGATTATAACAAATAATAGTTCAATTAAATATTAGTTACTTAATATAAAATTTAGATTTTAATCAGCTTTAAATAAATATTAATTGATCTTTTATTATTAATATAAAAAAATTTGAAACTTAATATTGAGTAAAAAATATGTAAATACTTTTATCTACCCTCTGTATTTAAAAAGTAATAAGTTATTAGATATATAATTATAACTACTATTTTATTTTGAAATCTTTTATTAAAGGGTATTTTTTCAAATAAAATATAAAAAATAGAATCTTATAATTTTTAATTTCATTTTTATTTAATATTATGTATTAATTTTTATATTATAAGCTAAATTAATATATTAATTAATTTAATAATTAATTTAAATATATATAAAGCATATAAATATAAATAATTATATTTTTAATTTTTATTAAGATATATATAATGTAATAATGATTAATAAATAATACATAAAAATTATCAGAGAAAATGAATCATATTTTTATTATTATATTATTATATTATTATTTGTTTTATATAAAAATTAATCAGTAGATTTGAATAATTTTTTTATTATTTTTTTGTAAGTTTTTATTATTAATAAATTTTAATATTTAATAAATTTAATTTAAATAAAAATGTACTGATTTTATATATTTATTTGACTAAATTAAAATCAATTTTAAGCTAATTTAAATTAAATTTAAGTTTTTAAATTGATACATCAATTGGAAGTGATTTGAATAATCAGAAAATATAATCAATTAAGTTTAAATATATTGTCAAAATTGGCTTAAATTTAGCTATCTGATTTTTAGTTGATTTAGATTATTTTAATCAGTATATATTATTTTAACATCTTTATAAATATCAAGATTATAATACATATTTTTTATATTTTATTTTTGAATATAATAATTTTTAGTTTTAAAACATATTGTTTATTCTTCTATTTTAACTGAATATTTAAAAAAGATATAAATAGAACTTATAATTATTTATAACTTTATGTGTGATTTTTATTAATTATAACTAATAGAACTTATAATTTTTTATTAAAATATATTATCACTTTTCTATTATTTATTAAACAAATTATAAATAGAATAAAAAAAATTAAAAAAAAATAATAAGTAAAGCTATTTATATAGTAATAATTAATATATATTCTTAAAATATAATTATATAAATTAAATTATTTAGAATTTTAACAAACATAAGATAAAAGAATTTTATAAAAAATTTAATAAGATTAAAATCATATGATAATAGCATATTTTTTGATATAAATTTAGATTTATAAAGACTTTAGTTTATTGAATAATTTTATTAATTATTTCTAATATTAGATTTGATTTTTATAATCAGAAATGAAGATAAATATATGGGGCCTTTGCAATAGAAAGGGAGGAAACCCCAAAAAAATTAAAATTTTAGTTTATAAGCCAAAAATATTCCAAATACTATAATTTGTTCAGATTTATTATTAACTCATTTTTTATTTTTTTTTGAGTTTCCTCCCTTTCTATTGCAAAGACCCCATATGTATTTATTAGTTCTGTTAATATTAGTATTTAACTTCATAGATATAAAAGAGGTATTCAAATTTTAGTCTTATAAATTTAAAAATTTATATATATAATAAAGATACTTATACAGTCAACTATTAATATAGTAAACTCTTAATATAATGAATATTTTGAATAAATATAATAAAAATACTCTTATTATATCAAATTGGTCAATTAATTCTCTTAAAATCTTTACTATATTCTTATAACGAAGTTGAAGTCTAGAATGTAAAGTTCATTATAACAAAAGTTAATTGTAATATATATATCATATAGAATAACATCTTTTTTTATAGTATTCTAATATTATTTATAAGTAATATTAAAAATATTATTTTATTATATTAATATATATTGTTTTATGCTAATTTGATAAAGCTTTTAAAGTGTTTGTAATCTTTATAATATATTAATTGCAGTTAAATTTCTAAATAATAAAAAAATTAAGAAAATATAAAATACTTAAAGAAAAAACTTGTGATAATTATTCTTAATAATCTATTAGTAAAATTTTTTATTATGTGATTTTAATACATAATTTTTCTATTATAATATAAAAATGAAAAATCTTATAAACAAATATTATTCTATCTTAGAAAAGTAATTTTTATTATTAAAAAAATATTTTATATTATTCTATTCTTAAAAAAGTAATTTTTATTATTAATATAAAAAGAAGTAATTATAATCAAATAATTAGTGATAATACTAATATAGTGAAAAATTTAGATTAATATATATAATATTTTTTTAATAAAATTAACACAAATATATAACTAAATACATTTAAAATAATTTAAAAATTGTGTAATAAATTAATAAAAAATTTTAACAATAAAATTTTAAATAGTTTATCAAATAAGTTCAAATTTAATATTATTTGAATTAAATTACTTAATGAGCTATAGAGGTCATAAATAATATTATTAATACTTTGTAAGTAATTTCTATATAGTCACACTCTATATAAGCACACTTTTTTATAATTATCTGATTTTGCAAAACAGATTTAAACAATAATAAATTATCTCTATATAATCACAAATCAATTATAGTTATTATCACATGAAATTTTTAACCATATATCATTTTTATTATTGAAATTATGAAATTATAACATACATCAAATACAATACTAAATATAAGATATGTTCAATGAACTATTATTTCCACTAAATAGTGAGTTAAAGTTTTATAGTTGAAATGCTTGCCTTTATAATTTTGGTATTTATGCTTATATATTTTTTATAGCACCTGTCAGTAAAATGTAAAATTGATCGTTAAAAAGTTTGTTAATGAGATGAATTAATATTATTTTAATTGTAATAATAAAGAAATTTTTAAAATTATTAGTATCGTAGTATCTTAAATCATAAGACCAGAAAATTTATAAGTTATTACGTCTTGATTAGGTAACTAATAATAGGATAATAAAATATTCAAAAAATGCATTATATAGTTTGCTTTATGACGCAATTAATTTTAAGTGATACAAGAATTTTAATTATGATCAATATAAATATCTTTAGAAAACAAAGAAATAACTTAATACTAGAACTTGCAATAAATGACCTAGAATCTGCGTATTTCTTTTCACTTTAATAGCATCATATATTTTATTTGCTATATTCATTTACTACTTAATAAAATTTTTGTTCATATTAGGCTTTATATTTTTAACATGTAAAAAGTGTAAAAATAAATTGATATTATTGGTATATTATTTATTCATAATTTATAACATTTCTGTGCGAATAAGTTAGCTTGCAAATCAAATTGACATTAATAATCAAAAATATTGTTAATTTAAATAATCAAAAATATAATAATTTTTTTAATATCTTTTTCTCCTTTCATAACTTTAGTGATTCAGTATTCATGAACTTACTTAGGTCAAGATTAACAAAAAAAAATGGCGACTTCTTAGCTCAAAGAGAATATTTTTTCGTAAAATATTATTATGTAAAATACTATAACTATATATTGACTTAAGTTGTTTAACTATTATTTTCTTTTCTTCTATAGTAAGTATTGCAGGATTAATATGATAAGCATCTTCAATTAGCTATAACACTAATGTATAAAGATAATCATTATAAATATAACTTTAATAGAACAAATGTGAAATAAAATATTTTAATACCAATATTGTAATATAAACCAATTAATATCTATAAATATTATAAATGAAAAAAAAAAGATTTATACCTTCCTTTAAAATTAAGTATATATTTGCTAATTCTTAACTTTTCTTTTTTTCTTTTTCTTTATACATATTGTAAGTTTTCTAGGTCATAACTTAGCCATAATATTTATTGAAGAAAACTTTTCCAAAGGTCTTACCATCTACATATTCATCTATAGTTATAATTCCCTTGGAAGATGATGCAACTCTTCTCTTTTTAATATCAGTCTGTTTTGAAGAACTATGCTTCTGCTTCTTTAAAGAATAATCATCACCATTATAATCATCATTAGAGTCATGATCAGGGTAATAATTATTATCATTAACATCTTTGTCAACGTTGTTATTATTATTATCATTATTATAGTCATCATTGTTGTTATAGTTATTATTATTGTCATCATATAAAAAATTATCAGAGAAAATATGATCTAACTTATTACCAACATTATTGGTAAAAGCAAATCAGCTGATATAATACACACATTTGCATAAAATTAGATTAATATCATTAAATTAAACAACATAGGTAATATATAAAGTAGTTAAACTTGCTTCTTCTCTCTTAAGAAAGTATATATTGCTATAATTTGATAATATATCATAATGAAGACCATTACAAACCGGTGTGTCAAATACCTGTGATAAGATTTTTTTCTTAAATTTATAATTTAGATCCTTATTCCTTATTTGATCCCAGTCAACATTTTGATAAATTTCTCAAAGATTATAACCTCTTAAATTCAGATTGTGATGCATTTTCATTTTCATAAGCATTTTGGCTATTGTGAAATTATTAGTGCATAAGATATAATTGGAAAGGTCTAAAAATCCAGTGGGTATATCACAAAATATTTCTTGTTGTCCTTGTGATCTTACTAATAATTTATTGATAGGTGATAAAATATTATAATACATATGAATTTTCACATTACCTTTAACTCTGAGATTAAGATTTTCAGTTATACATATAGGAAAATGTCCTCCTAGAATGATAAAAAGTAAACCAATAACTGTAAGTCTGATATCTTAGAAGAATCCAATCTATTCTCTCATGATTTCTGAAAAGAGAGGATAAGCAGACTCTGTTGAAGTTGGATTAAATCAAACTTGATCAAACCATTAGCAAATTGAAACATTATGACTTAATAATTAAACTATCATATTGGTTATCTTTAATATTAACCAAATACAAAGTAAAAAACTATTAGAAGAATAAGAAGAAAAACTTTCATTCTTTTATGAAAAATAATTATTTTATAATAACTTTTAATTAAACTTTTAATTAACTTTTGATTCAGCTTTTGAATTTAATGATGAATTATTATTATACAATAAATCTGTGTGATAAAAAAGTTTCATGACTAAGCTATCATACTTAAACTGTTATAGATAATACTTAGAATTTCTGAATTATTAGTGGTTATAGTGTATTGAATTAAAACTTTAGTCCTAATCTTATTTTACATATGATTACAAAAAATAAAAAAAAACATTTTTTTTAAGAATTCATTCCATTTATATAAGAAAAAAATTTGCATATGCTCATATGCTCTCCTTTTTAGTTAACTTTATCATAGGGCTTAAGTGAACTTTTTCCTTTTAGTATTTTCATTCTGCAACTTTTCTTCTACATTGATATACGTAAGTTTTTGGGTTAGTGATAAGATAATTCAGATTTTATTAATCTCTTAAAGTATTCTTATGTATTTATATTCTGATGAACTAATACTAATAAATTAAATATATTTTTCAAAAAAAAATGTTGTAATATTGTATTAGAAATTTTTAACAAAAGTCAGAATTTTTGATTATTAAGTATTTCTCTTTATCGTAATGTTCTTTTTATCTTAATCTTTTAATATTGATAATCTGGTTCTAAATCTCTCTATTTTCTATTGTTTAATTACTTAGTATTATTATCTTTCTCATATTCTCATATTGGGTAAGTTTGTAATTTGATTTAGTATTATTAATTTTTTTTAAAAAAAAATTTACTTCTTTCATATGATAATGAGAATTTATTCAAAACATCCTATCTTATAATATTTAAAGTCATAATTTAGTATAGTTATTATTCTTAAAGGTAAGTAGTAATAGGACTTCTGAATTTTAGTTAATAATATTTTTATTATTAACAATTAATAATAGTTAATAATAATTAATAATTTTTAACAATTAATAATTGTAATAAATACTTTAATTTCTTTAATTTATATAATAAGTGCAGAATTTTAAGTGTGATAATTACATAATAAATGTGATAAGTATAATGATCATTTTTAAATAAATACATAAATAATTTTAAAAAAAAATAAAAAATACCACTGCAATGAAAATTTAAAAGGAAAAAATCTTTTTGGTAATGGTTTAATGAAGATGATAAAATTAAAAATTTTTATTATTTTGCTATATGTAATTTTTGTGAGTAAAAATATCCAGATAAACCTTCAAAAATGTTTAAATATTTATTAGAAAATTCATCAAGATAAGCATAATATATTAAAAACTTTAGAAAATAATTCTTAAAACTTACAAATACAAATTCAAACTAATAATAATACTAAAAATAATGAAATAAAAACTGAATATATTAATTTAGATTTACCTTCTAAAGAAAAAATATCTATTCATTATCAATTACATAAAGCTTTAATATCAGTAAATGTATCATTATCATTTGTAGAAAATTCAGAAGTAATTAAATTATTTCATATATTAAATCCTAAATATAAATTACTATCTCGTAAATGGTTAAGTACAAATATTTTAAATAATATATATAAAAATATACAGCTTAAAGTTTAAAATTTTATATTAGAAGTAAAGTTTTTAACTTTATCTGATGATGAATAGACCAATGTATTAAAAAATAATATGTTAAATTTATTGTAACGAATAAAAAATATAAAAGTTAAATTTTAAAAATAGAAAACTATTCTAATTAATATCATACAGATGATAATATATTTATGTTATATAAAGAGATTGAAATAAGTCTTAATTTAAATAAATAGAAGTATTTATTTCAGACAGTAGATCTAAATTTAAAAAAGTACAATAACTAAAAATAATTTTTTTATTGATAATTAAATTAATATTAATTAAATTTATTAAATTTATAATTAGGATCAAGATATTTGTTGTAAAGTTTTAACAATCCTATGTATGGCATACTAACTAACTTGCTAGTTAAAAAAATAGTTAAATCAATATATTTTATACTAATTATTAAGAAATATTAATAATTATTAATCACTTTCAAAACTCAAATCTTATATTATCAAAATTTAGAGAATTAACTAATAATTCAAATTTAAGACCTAAATATCAATGTATTATTCATTTACAAATCATCTGAAATTTTATTACTAAATCAAACAAGTTTAAAAGTAAATTTTAGATATAATTTCTATTTATAATTAATATAGTAATTAATATATTTTTATTTTATTAAGTTATTGTACATACTTATCATTTTTAATTTCGCATTTACAAAAAAATGATAATATCATAATAGATATAATTAATAATAATGAATTTTAAATAAATCTTCAATTATTTCATGAGTTATTATAACCAACCTCTTCATAATTATCATAATTTTGGTTAAAAAATAATTTTAGCTAGAATTATTATATGAATATTACAAAAATTCTTTTATAAAAATTTATATTACATGTACTTTAAGATGAAAATTGTGAAATTCAATTTTTATGAAACAGTTATCATCAAAAAAGGATCAGACTTTAGTGCTAACATTAACTTTAATGATAGTAGTGATATTTGATATTGGCTTTATGCATATTGATGCTAGCATTAGCATTAGTGATAATGATAATATTAGCTTTAACAATGGTAACATTAGCATTGGCACTAGCATTAGTGATGATAATAATATTAGCTTTAATGATGATAACATTAGTATTGGCACTAGCATTAGTTTTTCTAATCTTCAGTCACATAATTTATAAATTATAATTCTGGCCAAAATTAAAATAATTAAAAGTTTTATATGCTATAACTAGTGATGTCCATTTTTGATATCTTAGAGATTTGTTATTCCAGCTATATGTTTTAATCTATCCTATACTATATCTCAAATATCCTATCTATCCCATCTATATCCTATCAATATCTTATGACAACACTGTCTATAATAATTACATCTCTATATAATCACTAATTTTTAGTGAACTGAATAGATAACTATATAAAAGTTTGACTGTATATTATTTATTTATAGTATATCAGAATATATAATATTTACTTAACTTTAACTTTTTTCTAAAAGTAATAATATACAAAAAAATTTCATATTTGAAACTAACTTTATAAATACATAAACCTATGTAACTATTGTAATAATTTTATTTCTTAGAATTATATTAAAAAGACTTCTATTAAAAAAATTAATTTATTAAGTATATAAGTTAGATCCTTTTTTATTTAAGCTATTGCTTTTTCATAATTTTATTAATTTTTATTAATTATTTAGATTTATTTATAATAATATTTTTTTTTAATAATAAATTCTAAAGATTTTAAAAGTTAATTAGCTTTTTTATTAAAAGGATTTTAAACAATTTTTTTATATAATTTTAAAATAAAAAAATAAAATCAAAATTTTTTTAATGTTTATCATCTAATTCATATTTAATAATTTTTATGATTTACCTAGTTAAAATCAATAT